GATCAATCTGAGTGCAGGCAGCCCTTCCCCAAGCCCACCTCGGCGGCAGGAACCAGAGACCCCCAGGAGGCTGGCATCTCCCCTGGTGGCTCCTTCAGAGCCACTTCTCAGCTAGGGAGGAACAAGTCTGTCCAGACCCTGAAAACAGGGCAGGAGGGAGCGAGGGGAGCCGAGGAACATCTTGGCCTAGAACTCTGGACGGGATGAGGTGAGAAGGCACCAGCTAACCTTCTCCTGACCTCCCTTCCAGCCAGTCAGAGCTGAGTCTGTGCTATGTGGAGGGGTTCAAAGGCAACGAAAATGCATTTGGAGAGCTGTGGGGTCAAGACAGGGAAACGCACAGTCAAAGCTCTCTATGATTAGCTTCAGGGCTCCACCCTTACTCCCTCCAACCTCCACCTTCCCCTGGCCATATCTACAGGTGTGCAGATACCTGCTCTGATGGCTCAAATGTCCCTTGTAACTCCTCCGTGCCAGCCTCACTCTCTTTGCCCCCGTCAGCAGCCTCAATGGAAGCTGAGTCACTCCTATCCCATAGTTTACTGTATTTGACTCCGAATCACCAGAAATAAATTCATGGAGCTCAAGAAACCCTAAGATGGTTCTTCTCCAACTTCCCCACCAAAGTCCTAACAGCAGAGTAGAAAGAACGTGGATAGGAAAGTGAGGGGGAATTCACAAGTGGAGAGGTAAGCCCCCAAGCGAAACATTTCACAAGTCTCCTGTTTTACCTTGAAAGTGGACTTGAATTTTGCACACCCAAAATGCAGAATATACTAAATGATACTCGTGTTCTGGCACACCACTACACCTCCCTGGAGGTTGGGCTCAAGCCTTAGGCTCAGGCTGTGAGCTCCTTGCGAGGGGAGCTAGACCAGCCTCCAGCACTTGGGGGCGGGATGGGCCACGCCCCTAAAAACCTACATTATTCTCACCTGCTTGCTGGGACGGTCACACGTTTGTTTTCTGCTCTCTAGCTTCCTGTTCGCCTTCAAGGTTCCCTTGAAGCTTTCCCCACCAAGACCAGGATGGAAAAGGAACTCCAAGCAACAAGAGAAACCTTGCAGCACGTTCAAAACATTAAGTTTTAAACATGTTTAAGAGTGTGATCTAAACATTAAGTAACATAAAATGTTTAAGAACATCAAAGCCCTCAGCTGAACTTCTTACTAGCAATTCCCACTTTGTAAGCCTCCCTATTAACACCTGTCACACTAAATAGGAATGGAAAAGGAGTCACAGCAGTTAGAGGCCAGGGTCAAGGAGTTCCAACTGTGAGTTTTAAAGTGTTTTACTAGCCAGATTTTCCTCCTTTCCCCTACTTCCTTTTGGGCTGGGAGCTCTGCTTCTGTATTCAGTGTTTGGGCCTCTCTGTACACAACAATCCGTTTGGGGCCTCTCTGTACACAACAATTCGTTTGGAGCCATCTTAGTCTCGAAGAAAACTTGTCAAACGCTATACAGCAAATTTTATGCCAATGACAAGTCCACACAAAGAGATTTCCAGTTGCTTCGGCTATTGGCCCGCTTTTAAAAATCATCCATACAGCCAAGATCTCCACAAGATATAAACTATCTCTCGGCACTTCCTGCCACACGCTGTGACTCTGGAGACCGGGCCGGGGATGGAAGCGAACAGTCCCCACCATCCAACTCTTCTCACAGATCCCAGATGCCCGCTTGCCAAGGGTGCCCCCTCCGGGTGTGGCTCTCAGCCGGAAGGGCCGAGCGCAGGGCTGGCCTGCGACACCACCCAGGCTTGGTGCTACCCACAATGCCAGTGAAGGGCCCAGCCCAGGTACCTCACTGCTCTCGGAAGCAAGCACAAAGTTCTCGACGCGGCGCCCTCGGGCCTGCGGCTGCTCCCTGTAGAGTAAGGATCAGACTGACGAAGATAAAGTTTCCCCGGGCCCAAGTTCCAAACTCGGCTGTTTTGTTTCTGTTAAAATGCAATTGTTTTTCTCTGGAGTGTGCGGTGACTGCTCGGCGTCAGGAAGATGTATGAAAACCTCCACTTCAATTCAGCATCCCTTTTCTCCCAGACAAACACGGTCGGATTTTAATAAATCAAAGAGCCACACTGTTTAATAAAAATTTATTGACTTACAAGTGATTATTTATCAAAAGACCATTAATAGCAGGTGCTGAAATGATGTGTTACTGGGTGGTGCTGGGGAGACTAATAGGAAATCAATGCAGCTGGCCGGCCAGAATGCATATGAGAAGCCCACCCCCCCATCGGCTAGCGCAATTTCACCGGCAAAATACACCAGACGCTACCCCTGGTGCAATGAAAAGTTCCCCCTTTTTATTTATCGTTTACAAATGAAATGATCAATACTTTTAATCTAGAGCAAAATTTATTAACTTTCCCATCGGAGAGAGACATATTGACTGGGGGGAGAGGAGGTGTTAGTGCAGTGGAAGATGGATGGCTGGATGGTCGTCTCTTAGCCTGTCCAAGAGCCAGTGTGCACGCAGCTGCCCTTCCAGCCCACAGGTCCCAGGCCACACGGGGCAAATGCGACTGGAGAAATCGAGTCTGGCCACCGAAGAGGCACAGTGGGCAGGCGTGACCTGTGACACAGTGGACTCGCTCACATGTCACGGATGTGGGAAGCACTTGTCCCACAGACCACTGAGTTTCTGTGGTCAGTTTCGGGGAGGAACAGCAGGGTCTGCAGACCCAGAACACTTCTGCAGCACAGCAGGGTGAGATGCTGCTGTGAAGGGCTGGCACAGGATGGTGCCCGAGGACTGGTCGCTGGGCTGGGCTGGGCATTCAGGGCTCTGTGGAGCGCTCCCTGCCGCCTCACAGCCAGCCTTTTTTAATCTCTGAAGCGCTGCAATATCGAGGGGTGGGGAGCTGACACAGTGAAGAACCAAGTTCCGAAAAGTTGGTTCTATCGTCCATGAGGTTGCCATCCCAAACCGCCCCATCAAGCTGAGCTTGCTATCTCTGGCGTGGCTGGCAGCCTTCTCCTGAGCTTCCTCTGACAGGGGAATTTTACTTGCCTGTTTTGAAAACTCCTTCTCTAACTAGCCGGGCGAGGGGGCGGGGGCGATCTCATATTTGAGTGAAAACAGCTGATCTCCACATTCAAACCTGCCCGGCCTCACTTCACCCGGACACCAGGGCCCCTCTGATGGAGTCAAGTTTCACCAGCCCTGATGTTCTGGAGAAATCAAGTGGATACAAACGGACATATTTCTGAATTAGATGGCTTTAGAACTTAGAGCTAAAGTTTGAGCCATGGGTTTAAAACTTACAGACACTTGAGGTGGGAAGAGCTTTGGAGGCCATCTAGCCCAAGCCCTTAATTGTGGATCAGGAACGCAAGAAAAAGAGAACGGCAAATGAGTAGCAGGTTAGGAAGTGGGATTAGAAGCTGGCCCGTGCTCACCCCACTAATTGATGCCGTTAGTTTTATGCCAGGGTCATCCTCATTGTTGCTAGGATCCTAAGGGCAAGAGTATTCTGGACTTGACATTGCCTTACATGTTCTTCGTAGGTGGTGTGAGGTTTTACAACTCAAGACCCGGCCAGCCATCCCAGATGGAACTCCTTCCTGCCTTACGGATAATGCGGGGCCTGCGGGGCCCCAGTTAAAGGGGATGGTGTAGCCTGAGGACTCTCCATGCTTGTGACAAGCACTAAATAAAGTTTTAGAGAGTGCTTTTTTTGAGGTGTAATGCACATCTCTGCTCCTAGTAAAACAGTAGACTAATCCTAGCTTAGTTTCTGCTAGTATTTCTTTTACACAGCAGTGACTCTAACCCCAGCTTTTTAACACTCCGCCGTGCCATCAGCAACAGATAGGCCTGTTTTCGTAGTTTCTTGTTTTCTCTCATTGTTTTTAGCACACCGATGAAAACCATGATGTAAACGTACTGAACAGCAGACAGCTTTTAAAAAAATAACTTTTAAAAAGGGAACTTGATCTTCAAGACCAATTTTAAAGATCATCCCAGATGGTTGTTAAACACTAAACACTATAAATATCGCCTCCTCTAAAGGCTGAAAACCACTGTTTACTCTTGGTAAAACAGTTCATAAGAGGCTGTTCCCTACAGTCAAAACAGTGTTTTTATTTGAGAGAAAAATAATCTTTCACTGGCTAGCGAGGTGAAAGGTAAGAGGAAAGGGGAGGCTAGGAAGGGAGATAAAGGAACAGGAAGTAGGTAGGGCAAGAGTCAGACTAAGGGCAGAAAAGACAAAGTGCTATCACGTCAGTGGCTCAGGAGCAGGGCTGCCCTTCCACATCATCCCGTCACAGGCCAGAGGGTGGCCTCGGAGAGGCACTGCTTACCACAGCTGGTGCAAATCCTGAAAGGTGTCATGACCATGCTGGGGGGGCCAGGGGAGGGAGTGGGGATGGATGGATGGATGGATGGATGGATGGGTGGGTGAATGCTGGGGATGAGGCAACTCTCTCTCTCGTTAGGTATGTGAAATTGGTAGACCCTAGAAGCCAGAACTGGTGAGGGTTGCTAGGCTTCAGACCTGCCCTCACAGTGACCGTGGATGGATGCAGGGACCGCACGAGGCCTGCAGCTCTCCTCTGGCTGTGTGGGAGCCCACACGCAGCCAGAACCCACCTGGCCCCCTCACTAACCCTTCCAGAGCCTCCGTTCCTTCCTTGCCCCCATAGGTCCTTGTTGCTTTCCACCGTCCTTCCATCCAGACTGCCTGCCTCATCTGCTTTGTCCCCAACCCCAACAAACAGCGCTTCTTCATACGCCTCTAATCCCACTGCACCTATCCGCACAGAAATCCACAGCTCATCTGTGCTGGAAATTCCAAGTTAACCAGACAGATATGCAAACATCCAACAGGAGCAGTAGCTCCTTCTGAATAGTACTATTCCTCAGCCCAGAAGTCAGCTGGATTCCCTACAGTCTTGGGGTTATGGCCAAGTCAGAGACCTGTAACTGCTGTTAAGAGACATGTTACTTAGGGCTGCAGCCAGGGGAGACAGAGGGAAGGGAAAAACCCCTCGGATCATTGACCATCAGAGACAATTTTATTGACTCACAGAAACAAACCCAAAGCCCTCTGCAGCAGCTCTGAGCTCCGACCTTGTCCTGCCACGTTTCATGGACCTACACTTGTAACACTGAGCAACTTGTCCTTCAAAGTAGCACTTCAATCCCCACAACAACCCTGTGAGGTAGGTATCACCACCCTTCCCCTCCTGAGCCAGGTTACAGATGGGGAAACTGAGGCACGAGTTAACAGAGAGCAAGTCACATGGGAGTTCAGGGTCAGCACTGGAGCTGGAACACAAAATGACTCTTGGTTCCCACCACATGCTAGTCACCGATCACCTTGCTTCTCATCGTCCCCTCTGGTGACTGCCCGTGGCAACAGCACAGGAATGAAACCTCGCTTTGCTGAGAGCCCCTGCAGACAACAGTTTTCTTTCCATCCAGTCTGCAGAGCTCCGGGGCAGGGGGTGATGTTCAGGCCAAAGCAGGCCGCACCGCCTCGGCGCTGTCTCCTTGCGCACGGGTGGACCCCTTCCCCAGCAGAGCCCCTGGCACGTGGCACCCGCAACAGACCGAACACGGGCCCACGGCCGATTCTTCCCAACCACTCAGTCCCACACGTGTGCAGGTGGAGAGGGGACTTTAATGGCATTCCTGCAATGGACTCATTGTAAAGAAGACAAGAAGGGTGTCCCATCCTGGGCAGCGGCCCCCAGCGGCGTCCGCTTCCGATGGCAAGCCCAGGGGTCCCCGGGGCGGTCCTGAAGAAGCTGGAGTCCTGGGCTCCAGGGCGGCCTGAGGAGCCCTGCAGGTGGCAAGGACGCAGCAGTGGGGGTGGCAGGGGGCGGTGGCAGCTCCAGCTGGCTCGCGGGTCAGGCCCGCGAGTGGTGGCTCCAGCCAGCGCGAGGCGCGGGCTCAGGACCGGCTCCTGTCCTCATGGTTCCCAACGATCATCTTGCTGTACAGCTTCTGCTGCTCCTCTTTGAACGTGTCCTTCACCTTCTCCCTCTTCAGACCACCATCCCTGATGGGAGAAAGGCTGGTGTAAGAGCAAAGAAGTCCTCCCGCCCACCCAGTCACAGCCAGCAGCAACACGCTGCTCCAAACCCGAGAAGAACCTGTCAGAAACAAAAGTACCCCGTGGCTCTCTCCCTCCCGAGGTGCTGTCAGTAGTGAGGCTGCACGCCCCAACTCCACCGTTTCTATTATAGCTCTCACTCTTGCCCTGGGGTCAGAACTCCCCACTCATGTTCAAGGCACTTTGTAATCACTTCAACCTACCAAGGAGTTTACAATTCTTTCTACCAATTTGCCCTCACCTTGCAAAAGATACAGGAGGTATTCTGAGATCATGGAACGTGAGCCAAGCTTTAAGAAATACTGAGACTATAATGAATCCGCACATCTGATCTGTGGGATAAAATCTGTAAATTCAGACCCAGGGATTCTGCAAATTCATGCCAACAACAAACAAGGGGAGCTGCCACTCCTGACTTCTTCTGTGCGTGAGGGACAGTGCTGCAAAGGAAACCAAGTCACTCTCAGGGTCCTGGGCTGACGACCCTGGCACCGCCCCCCAATATCTCCCAATCAATTCCCTATACTTGGATTTGCTTCTTCAAAGTCCCACTCCCATTCGTCACCACAACTGCTCGCCTACACCCTAGAAGGAGCATCTCTCACCTTCAACAACTAACGGAAGCCCAAGTCCACCTTCAGGCTTTCCACTACAGCTTTTTTCCCCTTTGAGTTATGGAGGTGGCCGTGGCAGAGAAAGTCTGGACGGACCTTACGCTGATGCCCTTACCATCTGCTGCCCCTTTACAAGCCATGGCAAAGACAGTCACGCTGGTCGTTCTTAGGCCTCGTGGACAGGGCATGCAGGCAGTGGCAAACACTCCAGCTCCAGCAGCCTGTCAGACCGGAGTTCAAAGTCTGGCTGCACTGCTTGCTCTGTGACTCTGAAAACGGTTACCTGACCTCTCTGAGTGCGGGTGTCCTGTTTGTAAGATGGGAGTAACAATGCTCATACTACAGGTACCTGCTGTGAGGACAGAGTGAGCTCGGCACCTAGAACAGCCTCAGCACAGCGTCTGGCTGATGAGGAGTGTTCGATAAGGGAAGCAATTTTTAAAAGGCCATACCTGAGAGCCATGCCATCACCTAAGAATCCACATGTCAGCATCAAATTTGAATTTCTACATTCTTTCCCCGTAATGTCCACTTTAGTCAAATGCCCTATAGAACTCACCCTTGTGCTTAAAACAAAGGGTCCTAGGGCATGGAATGATTTCCCTGAACCAGCATTCCTCCCAATCACAGTCCTGTAATTTGGAGGCTAACTATTGCATATTCTGGCGTAAGGGTCCACAACTATGGCCCGTAGGCCGAATGCAGCCTGGTAACTGTCCTGATAAAGTCTTACTGGAACACAGGCATGCTCCTTTGTTCACACAGTCTCTGGTTGCCGCCACACTACGATGGCACACTTAAGCTGTTACAACGGAGACCACATGATCCACAAAGTAAAAAATTTACTGACTCTACAGAGAAAGTTTGCCAACTGTTGCTCTAATAGGTAACAAGCCAAATACAATAAAGGAAACTTCTGTCTTTCCAAGGATAGTCCAGTTTTGCCAAATATACAAGATCAGAGAGCCCAGTGCTTCTATGAAGTTTCCAGACCAGCATCAGGCCGGCCCTTCTGAAGGACCAGGACTGCCTGGTGCTCTGGTAGACTAACACAAACCCAGAAGGTACACAGAATCGACTGCTTCAGTCTAGTCATGCTGGGCTCTGTGTTTCCCAAAGTTAGGGCGGCATGGACTACTTCTGAGTTGACACCAGGAGAAAGGAGTGAAACTGTTCACTCTCCAAGGCTGACAAGCTGAATTCTCTACAACAGGGAGAAGGCGGATTCTTTGTAAATGGAGTTAGCAATTCAGCTTCTGCTTCAGAAATTCCCACCCTGCTACACTCAGCTGATAAAACCCAGCTCTGACTCACCAAAGCAGGTCCACGAGCCCTCCCTGCCTGGCAATGGCCGATTTCACCCTATTTGCAAACTGGACGGCATCTTCATCAGTCTGTGAGAAAGAATAAATGAGACCACTCAACACAGGCTGATGTCACACAGACAGAAGTGAAGACTTCTGCATGGTGTGGGGACCCACCTCTCTGGTCATGGGAGGCAGGTACCAGACACTGCAGACAATGGCCCAGCTGGTCATCATTCTCAGCAGGTACGTTACCATCCCATATTTGCTGCTGTTCCAGAAGGCATCACCAAACTGAGGGTCATACTGAAAAAGAGTGGAAAATTGGATGGTAAGAAGTCAGTAGTTCAAACGAGGTGGGTTGTCAACAGCAACTTTTGTGAATACATCACCTGGGGCAGTATCAGTACCAGAAAGCCACACTCAGACCCCTCCATGAACACTTCTGAAATGATTCTACACCTGGGCACTATGACCTTTAGCAACACGAACCCCCTGATTGACTCAGATTTTGCTGTGGATCATTAGGGAGGACTCCCTGAACCGCCTTCCCCCAACAAACGTCCTCCTTCTCTTTGATCCATTTCAGGTTTTACTCATTCATGGGTGTATGTAGTTATTAACATGTTTAAGCAGATCCAAAACCAGAGAAGAGGATTAGACACTCCCATATCTCCACTCCCCAGATTCAACCATTACCAACATCCCACCATCCTTGCCCCTGCCATCCCGCACCCGCTCACAAACCCTATCTCCAACAATGGTGTCCTCCACTCCTCAATGCTTCTACATGTGCCTCACTCAAACAGACATACCTTCTCACATCATTAAGTTTTTAAGATCATTTCTGGTGCTCCGGACCAAGGAGAAGACAATTACAAAGCTTACGCTATGCTTCTGTAATTATACCTCTAACAAAGCTAATGATCTGTTTAAGCGGGAGGCTCTGCTCTGATCACATCGCCAGCATTCTAGAGGAAACAGGGGTGCGACGGCTCACGAGGCCACCACACGCGTGCTGCCCTCCCTGCCAAGCGGCAGGCTCAACAGAGACTTTCTTTTGCCAATGACTCTAGTGGAGGCTAAGGCTGTACTCCAGTGGTATCTTGTGGGAAAAGTGGCTGACGCCGTGACCCGCAGTCTCACCAACAGAAGAAGAATTTAAGCAGCAGGTAAGCAGGGTTGGGAGAGCTGTGCAAGCTATCAAAGCAGCAGCAAAAAGAACACAGTCTTTGGAGACAATGACCGAACCGAGTGTCCTGCAACTGCCAGCACGTGTCTGAAGGGCTCTCACAGACATGACACCAGACTGTAATTATAGTGCAAAGACAGGGACCAGAATGGGGAAAATTAGAAAGAGGGAGAATCTCAAGAGTTCTCCCACAGGACCTAGCTGCCACTGTGTCAGAAATGCCCTTTCTCTGCAGAAGCTCGAGAAGGAACACCAGCAGGGACGCTGTGGACACTAAGGCACTTGACAGGCTGGGGCAGGATTTGGACTACACAATCTTTTTTAAGGCTCTCCAAGCCACTTTATGATTCTCAGAACAGAAATTGGATAATTATGCCTAGTTGTGGACCTGACTACGGGAAGGAAGACATTTAGATTAAATTACAGACTCAACTAAGAAATTCAAATTTATAGAAAGCTTTGTGAGTTTATATTATAATAGCAAAGGGAAATAAAGGAGAAGAACGAGTTTTAAATAGAAGCTGATGTTTAAAAACTGCACAGAGAAACGAAACTGTTCAAGCATAATTTTTTCCTCCATTTGAAACTGGCATCCCTTTGTATGGCCATCCCTGATCTATTACTTATGGCTTGCAATTTATAAACAGAAAGAGTTACAAACCCCTGTTAGAATCTCTCTGCAGCACTACCACCAACAGCCAAATTAAGGAAAGAGCCCAAATGTCCTTCGACAGATAAATGGATGAAGAAGATGTGGTGTATACATATAATGGGGTACTCCTCGCAATCAAAAAGAATGAAATCTTGCTAACCTGCAACATTGTGGATGGAATTAGAGGGTATTATTCTAAGCAAGATAAGTCAGAGAAAAGACAAATAGCGTATGGTTTCATTCATGTTTGGAATTTAAGAAACACACCAGATGAACACAGGGAAGGGAAGGAAAAATAAGATAAAAACAGAGAAGGAGGAAAAATAAGAGACTCTTAAATACAGAGAACAAACTGAGGGTTGCTGGCGGGGTGGTGGTGGGGGATGGGCTAAAGAGCTGATGGGCATTAAGGAGGGCACTTGTTGGGATGAGCACGGGGTGTTACATGGAAGTGATGAGTCACTGGGTTCTACTCCTGAAACCAATACTACACTGTATATTAACTAACTTGAATATAAATACGTTTTTAAAAAAAGAAAAAAAGAGAAGCTAATGTTTATGTTTTGAAGAAAGTGGTGTTACATTTTATAAGCACTATATGGATAAAATAGTTGATGTTATGTGTGCCAGCACTTTGTTTAGAGTTGATTTTCTGTTCCATGCTGGGCAGACACCATTGAGAGAAAAACAAAGCAAAAACTCAAAATAGTAATAAATTTCTCAAAGTCAAATAATGGTTTAATTTTGGTGCAAATGTAGTAAGAGCCTTGAAATTGCTAAGATGGTCCAAATTTGATTACCAATGAAGGCTTTATAACAACTAGCAAAGTTTTAGAGCAAAAGGTTTTTTTTTTTCTGTTTTTTGTTTTCTTTGAGAGAGGAAGAAAGCTTGAGTTGGAGAGGGGCAGAGGAAGAGAGAATCTTAAACAGGCTCTACGCTCAGTGGGGAGCCCAACACGGGGGATCCATCCCACAAACCTGAGTTCATGACCTAAGCCAAAATCAAGTCGGATGCTCAAAGGACTCAGGCACCCCAAGCAGAAGTTTTTAATCATAAGTGTTTGTTAATAAATTTGGGGAGGGAATGAAATTATATGTAAAATTTACATGGCTTTTGGGGCACCTGAGTGGCCCAGTCGGTTAAGTGTCCGACTTCAGCTTGGGTCATGATCTTGCAGTTCGTGGGTTCGAGCCCTATACTGGGCTTGCTGCTGTCTGCACAGAGCCCGCTTTGGATCCTCTGTCCCCCTCTCTCTGCCCCTGCCCCATTTGTGCTCTCTCAAAAAATAAACGTTAAAAAAAATTTTTTTTTTTTTTAATATACATGCCTTTTTCTTTGGAGAAGAGCCATAACTGCCCAAAGGGTCCAGGTACCCAAACTTGTTAAGAACCACTGCTCCACAGCAGGGTTCCCAAACCAGCGCATCAGCAGCACCCAGAATGGGTTAGAAATGCAAGTTCAGAAACACCCAGCAATCTGCATTTTCCCAGTCCTCCCAGGTGATGTTGACGCAGCTGTAAAGAACCGATGTTCCGGAGTCAGCAGGGACAGTGAGGAAGGGCCTCCTCTAGGAATTTGTTTCTTACGAGCATGTACAGAGCAGCCCAGGATCCCTAGTACAATCAAATGCAGGACGGCATGCACATGACACAAACACCGCTCCCCAGGTTCTTCCCCACAGTAGACACAGCTAATGGACTGTTTTCTTTCTTGAGTTCCCAGAGACAGCACCCTCAACAGGTGGCTTACGCAGCCCTGACCCATGGATCAGTTAGTTAGTTACCCTACAGCCACTGTTCATGTGCCATTCCTGCACTGGAGCTCTGCCTCCCTAGTCAAGGGGAGGGCTGGTGAGTGTTCGCTTACCCAGGAGAAACCCCTCTTCCTCAACTGCGTGAGCTGTGCTGGCAAAGTGACAGTGATTCTTTCAAAAGAATGCTCTGCACACAACAAGCAGACCCTTGCAAAAGTATAGAGACTAAATTCTAAGTATAACTGACACAGATTTACTCATTGTTTCACCCTGATCTGAGATTTCAACGTCAATACTTTAAACATACTGACAACAGCCTGTGGTGTTTAGAAACCATAGTATTCTTTTAGAAATAGTACAATGTAAGTATTTATAAAATCAGATGGACGTGATGGGGGGGCAGGAAGGAGAAAAAAGAGAAACTGACTGAATTCTATCCTCCCAGGTAAGTCTGTTAAGAACACATCTGTAGCCATCCGTGCTGGCCTCTCCACCAACTGTACAAATCCAGCCGGGCCATACCCTCAACTCCCTGCGGCAAGCCTCCTCGAGTGGAGTACCTTGCATTCTGGGTAGGTTTAGGAAGAAAGATGTGGTAAGTGGGGGGGGGGGGGGAGGGTGGCGACAAGCAAAGCTTGCGAAGGGTCCCCCACCTCCTGAATCTGGTGGTGGCAGCGAGGTGTGGGCTCCAATTGGGTGTTCCTCATTCAGCCCCTCCCCTGCCCCTTCTAATGGGCTGGAGACTGTGAACAATTCCACGGTCTCCTCCTCCAGCACACTCTACCCACACTAGCCAAGCCCAAGCTGCTCCACTGGAGGATCAACCCACGAACCAGTGACACCATCTTCTTCCTCCCCTTTCTCTTGCTGTGTCCCATTCATGGCATCTGCGGTAACAACCACATGTCCCCTCAGAGGTCTTGCTTGTACCTTGATAGCAACAGGGTAAACTGTGGCTCCAATCTCAAAACTTCCTTTTTTGAACATCATCACTGATGTATTATTGATGCAGGTTCCTAAAATGCAGAAGAGAGTAAAATGCTATTTCTTTTGGTCCTTTACCTCAGAGACTAGGAGTTTAAGGACTAAATACAATAATAAAACCTCTTCTAATGGCTTTTCAAACAGGATAAATCTGTCATCTCCATAGCTTATGGATGAACACCTAAAAGGGATAAGCAAGACACTGTACTGTTTCTTACTCTAGTACAAGATCATTTTCCCAATTAACACACCCAAATTAGATAAAAGGCCAGAGCCACTCAGTGGACTAGGGAGGTCTCAGTAAGAATCTACATGAAGCTGAGATCCCACTGACAATACTATACAGGGGATTCCTGCATTGGGAAAGGTCACACTATGGCCCTCAGTCCAAATTCTGAACTTTCCTGAGTGTTCAGTCCCACAACAAATTTTGAGGGGAACCGAACATTATTCAGTGAAAACAGAGAACCCCTGCAAGGGTTGGGGGACTTGGTCTGGGGTGACAGCAGAGTCATCATCCTGCATGGCCTTCCCACCCTCCCCACCCAGAAACTCTTTGCAGTGATCGACCCCTTCTTACCCTCTGGGAAGATGAGGATGGGTAGCTTGCTTTTATCCTGCACATGCTCAGTCAGTCTTTAGAAGAGACAAATAGAACAAAGGTTCAGACAGCCTTATGTCCATCATCACCAAATGCACTTATAAAACAACCTATGCAGATGTCACAGGGGATGTCGTCTATGAATTAACAAATACGACTATCTTTTACAGACCCACAGTCTAAATTGTGTAAAGACAAAACTTATGAAGACACAGAAAATCAGATGACTACTATTTAACTCCTACAACTATCGAATACAGTCTTAACATCTATGTAGAGGACACTGCTCAAACTTGGGGCTACTAAAAGAATGTGCCTGCCACAGGGCCTTGAGGACAGCACCCTCAATAAACACCTGTTACTGGACTTCTGGACTTCCTAACAGCCATGCTGGGTTGGACCTACAGTCCACCTGGCTTTACACCATCCCTGAGAGATGCGGTAAAGGGAGTCCAATGGCAGGTCCATTTGCCCTGTGGAATACCGCCTCACCTGAGTCTTGCTGCTCTCCATTCCCTGCAAAGCTCTCACCATTGCTTACACCACATCTACCTTTCTTTCAAACTTGAAAACAGAGAAGCACTTGGTTCCATTGCCTTAAGTTGGTTTTTATTTGTGATAATTAATTCACCTTGAGATTTCAGATAGTGTTAAAAGTTCATATGTTTAGGGGCACCTGGGTGGCTCAGTCGGTTAAGTGTTTGACTTCCGCTCAGGTCATGATCTTATAGTTGGTGGGTTGGAACCCCGCATTGGGCTCTGAGCTGTCAGCACAGAGCCTGCTTTGGATTCTGTGTTTCCCTCTTTCTCTGCCCTTCCCTTTCTCATGCTCTGTCTCTGTCTCTCAAAAAATGAATAAACATTAAAAAAAATTTTTTTTAAAGTTCATACATTTATCACAAGGAATAAAAAAGGTTAATTAATAGACGTTACTAACTTGACAAATGATACTAGGCTTTCTATACTTTTTATATTCCGTATTTTAGGGAAAAAAATGTTTTACTATGAAAGCAGTCTAGGCTCAGTGTAGAAGACACTGTAATTCCACTGTGGAGGGATAACTACCCCTAAAATGCATACATTCTAACTGGTCTCACGGAGCAATGGCATTTCATTGATTTACCTTTTAGCCACCAGGTGGCGATCTTTCACTTCAGAACGCTCGAACCAGACGTGCGGGCAGGCCTTCACCATGGCTCTCTGAATCACACCCATGAGTCCCCCGTGCACTTGACCCACCTAACCTCACACAAAGGAATAACTGGGAGTGAAACCATCCTCACACAAATCCCCCACTCTGTGGAGAAAGCCCCAGATCCCAAAAGGAAAGTACCGCAACCTCTCACCCTCTAACATTTTATTGATCAACACATTTCTCACTATAAAGACACCATTGTTAGACTCCCTGAATCTTATATTCGCCTTTTAATCAGCCAAAGCAAAAATATGTAATTGAAAACACAGCTGAAAGCCCTAAAAAGAACTAATGGAGCTGAGCAATACCTTGTGTAAAAATGCTTTCCCTGGGCAGATTGTCCAATGCCCTTGAACCCAGTCCTTTCAAATCCTTCCCTGTCCTTCACCCCTTTCCGTGGTCTACCTAAACATCCAAAGTCTAATCTCCAACCGCACTCAGTTACTCTGCTCAGAATACTTCCTATCAAAGTACCGAGGAGTTCTCAAAGCAATAGAAACAAAGGCTACAATCTATGTTAGGGCCCACATGTAAAAACATGGCTCCATGTTTACACCCTTAGGTAAGAGCTCTATGAAGGGACCAGAAGCGTCCTAGCCCTGAGCATTCTAAAGTTCTTACTTGCCCAAGAAAGCAACAGAGGAAGGTCTTACCATGGCATAGTAGCCATCACTGGCCAAAATGATGACATCAATGGGAGAGGTGTGATTGGCCACACAGATGCCACCGTTTCGAGGCCTGTTTTCCCTGTGTTTAAAACATATGCAAAGCAACAAAAATTCATGGGAAACCATTCATATGGAGCCTGCTGCCCCCTCCTCACCAGCTCCATCAGCTCTGAGAGCTCAGAAGAGCCCCCCACGGGCCGGCTGCAGGTAGGTTGTGTTTTGCCAGTGCCATTTCCCTCCACATCATACCAAGTGACCTCACCTGTCATGGTAGGTAATGATGGCTGTCAGGGCTCGCACGCAGATCCGGTAACACATTAAGTGAACATGTTTACTCAGGAACTCCTTAAACCTGATACAACAGGACAAAGATTTTTGTTTTTATTTTACGCACGGGAAGGCAGGAAAGTTACTGACTCTAACAATGTAATTATCACTGCCTACAGTCCTTTATGACTGCTAAGTATTTTTATAAATATTGGTGGATATGATAAAACTACAATGTAAGAGTGTCTTTATGCCTGCATATGAGGACACAAAGAAATGAGGAGAACTGCTTAAATTCACCTAAGTTAATGGGTTTAGAATTTATAGCTCTCAAATGTCCACCACAGGTGAGTCTCCTCAATTCTCTTCCTTCCCAGCCAACACCTAGAGGCAGGGCAAAGGACAGAGGGTCTGACCTCACCAGCCCAGGGAAGAAGAGAGCCAGCTCTCGAACTTTCAGATGAAACAAATTTCTCTTCAAAAAAAAACAAAAAACAAAAAACACGAAAAAGCCCTACCTATATTTCTTATCCTCTTACCAATTTATCAACACAGCAGAATGCTCAAAAGTAAACAATGTGCTGTAAAATCTGCTGGCACTGAACTCCACGGCTGTGAGGTTCCTCCCTTCAACACTCTTCCCAGAGTGTGTCAGAGGGCAAAAGAACACAGTCACAGATCAAGACTGGTGAAAAAAACCAAAAAACCCCCACAACCTTCATGCTGATGCCACTGTTATCACTGGCTTATCTTATCTATCGAAGATGCTGTGGATGTGGCTGTCCCCAAAGGAGTGGCCTGGCTGGAGCCACCATTTGTGGACATGGACTCACCTCCCGTTTGGCAGGTATCCCACCACGGTTGTGCCTACCACCAGAAGGCTAATCCCAGTGAAAGCAAGAGCTATCCTGTAAAGAAGAAGACCCATGAGAACACAGCACACAAACCCTTGCACTAAGGACAGAATCAAGAATGTGAAAATGAAAGTGGGCATCACAAAACCACCCCCAAGACCTGATCACCCAGGACCCATCTAGATAAGAGCTCCATCTAGAAAAGTGAGCAGGCCTATCATCACCAGAGAGCATCTGAATTCCAAGCTGCCAGTGAACTGTGGATTTGGCTCTCAGCTGACACGACCTCCTCAGGCATCAGGCTGCCAGAAAGACGATGGAAAAGCCTACTGTTGGCTGCTGTGCCCTCAGGCACCTGCTGTCCTGCTGTCTTACCCTTCCCTTTGGCTCTGCACCCTGGCAGAAGCACAGCTTCTGTGTAGAGCAACAGGAAGTAGAGCCCGAAGGTACCAGGAGCCAGCAAGGCGTACTCAGAATAGTACACGGTACAGAAAAACGGAGAGATCAATGTTGCCTCTGTATTAGAGAGGCACGCTTATAGGAAAGAATTGGCCGTGCCCAGGGAGCAGTAATCAGAGTACACCACGTTCCCTGGCCCTGTGTTTAGGCCACGTAGGCGAGCAGTTTGATTTTAAGAAACCCAACTATTTCTGTCTGATATGCAGAGAATCCAAGGGCCTCTAAAGGATAATCACCAGTGTACCCTTCCAAGGGTCGGACGGACCGGCCAGTGACAGAATCATACCATGATCCTTTCTAAAACGGGAAAGCAAAGCAGGGCGACCCAGGTAGGTCAGTCACACCTCGGGCTTAGAGGCAGCGGCTCAGGCCTTTTGTCCCCATGAGGCCTGCCCTCACCTGAGTGGCAGAAGGAAGCAATATCGAATCAGCACTCCTAATCCCCATAAGACCGTGAGCCGAAGGCTGATGTACTGGAAGTTATAGTTGGTTCTGCTCAGCAGGTTCCAGGACTCCAATTCCTCTGCTGAGAATCTCTTTGTCACCTCATCGTCCATAATGGTCTCCATTCCTTTCCGGCAAAAGTAGAAGATGTCAGAGAGCTCAAACTCTGGAGTATTATCCAGAGCCTTACTACTACCACTTCGGCGGATTTCTTTGATCTCTTCTTCCAGCGAAGTGGGATCTTTTGCAATGATTCCTGCAAAAGAGAACACCCCTGTCAAGCAGCATGTTGGGAGGGAGCACGTTAAAAACATTCAGAGTCCACATCTTCCCTCTGATACAGTGAAGAGTATGTGTGGAATTACAAGCACTCAGGAACATAGACGGTTTGGGATAAGGAGTGAGAGCCAGGCTTACCATTCGTATAGGGCTTGTAAAGTTGGTGGTTCTTTTCCTTGGCGCCTCTCTCCATTCTCAAGGTGGCCCACTGTGGGGGGAAATGGCAACACAAGGAATGAGACCCTTCTTCACACAGTGAATGCCGCCATTTCCATCCCGGAAAGTCCCCATCCTGGTCACCTGAGATGGGACTGTGGCTGAGGAAGCACCCGCTCTATAAGGAAAGTCAAAGCCTTCTCCTTCTAGAGCAGGCCCCTCCTTGATAACAAGGAGACAAAAGTTAAGTTATCTATAGCAAAGGCCTGAGGACACCTGGGTCTGTTTCTCAGGCCTAGGTTCTCTCTGAATCTTTGTCTCCAGGATACTGAAAGAATTCACCAACTGCTGGTACACAGACCTCTTGCATTTCCTTGTCACTGCCAAACATCAGCTATTCACAAACAGCAAAATCAAGCATCCTTTAAGCGACTGCCTACCACCTGATGCTACCTACCTCCCAAATTATTCCAAAAGCCACAGTTTTAGTTTTTGAATATTAAAAAAATCTGTATGTCTAGACTGTCCATTCACCTCTAAGTAGCCTTTTAATAGAAGGACCCCAAGACCTGACATAGAAGGGCCTGAGAGTGGTTTAGTATTAAACAAAATCACACAAAAACACTATTTGGAGGGGCGCTTGGGTGGCTCAGTCAGTTAAGTGACCGACTCTTGATTTCGGCTCGAGTCATGATGTGAGTTCGAGCCCCATGTCGGGCCCCCTGTTAACAGTGTGGAGCCTGCTTGGGATTCTCTCTCTCTCCTCTCTCTCTGCTCCTCCCTCTCTCTCTCAAAATAAATAAATATACATTAAAAACAACAACAAAAACAACACTGCTTGGAGGTTTAAAGAAAATCTAGTTTGACACCTCTGCTAAGTCCTTTAATCACCTCACTCCACACTCTTTTCCATCTACAAAATAGGACTGATAGGATGTCAACCTCCTGCTTCATAGGGTCACTGGGATCAGATGAGATCAGGTATATGACAGAGGCTGGGAAACTGCAGACCACCCTAACTGTCCTCATTGCTACTGAAATAATAGCAGATTCCAGAAACGATCTAGAAAAGAAGCCTCTTCCTAGAGCCTCCCTTCTTTAACATCCATCTAGCCAAAGTCAGCGAGCCAGCGTCTCTCCTGCTACCTTCATAACGAGAAGTGGCAACAAGCTCACTCTCCCTGCCTGGAATGTTAGTGCTACACAGAAAGCTATGCCCATGACCAAAGAAATAGAACAGATATTTTAAAAGGTGTCTTTTCAAACTTCAGTTTCCTCAGTTACGCAAGCTATCGTTCTGTGACACAGCAAAACCCACACGGCCTACAGCGCCTGGTGCGACTCTGCTGGCAGAGTCACGCGTAGTAGGAAGGCTGTGCCGCACGGTCTAGCAAAGCCAAAGGCAGGACACGAGTTTCTTCGGTGATCTGACCTCATGTGGAAACTTCTTAAACAGACAGCTTAGAGTCACCCACTCAAAGAGGGGTCTAAGGCAAGAAAACCCACATTACCCATTTTCTATACATCAGGTATTTAATTAGCACTGATGTTTTCTGGCTCTACGCATGGATGATCTTTTCTAGAAGAAAATGTAAATGAAGCTCCTAAAATGGAGGAAGGTGGATTCCACCTGTGAAGTCCATCTAGGGAGGAGGCGAATAGGGGCAAGAGAGCTTAGAACAAGCCTGACATATACAGACACAGGTTGCTCAACCAGAATTTAGGCTTTTCCATTTTGGTCAAGACTGCATGAGTACAGCAAACATAGAATCAGAAAAACTTGGTTCTATAGGACAACTTTGGTATTTAGACAAGGTTGCAACAGGCAGGTAATATACGACATCAAGCCTCGAGCACTAGAATTGAAGTCTGTGAGGACTGCTTCACTATGCAAAATTCAAGATTTCTGTGGTGTTTTAATGGGAAAGGTACAGGTCAAATGAGACCCTATGTATCCCCGCTCTATCACAGAGCTGTCCTAAATATCGCCTTGCCCTCCTGCTTTGTACCTGTAGCTTTGCTTTGTCACACTTCAGGTACATTACAAAATGCTTCTGGGTTTAGAAGGGAACTGTGCAGTCACAAGAGTAGGAGGAAGGAGGGCAGGGCTAGAGGAACCTGGTTGTCGGCAGCGAAAAGCCTGTCACGGAGTGGGCCAATCCGTGAACTGGACTGCGTCAGCCTGGTGCAGAAGACTGAATGTAAGGGGTGACGCACAGGAGTAATGTCTGACAACCACACATCTGGCTTCTATGAGCTGTCACCTTATTAAAGAAGTACAGTGTTCAGAGACCCAGAATAAAACAGAGAATCCTAGGTTCAGAGTTCATTCCTATGAACCTCCTCTCCTTCCCCTGATGTGAGATGCCATCTACCGTGCTACTCAGTATCAGATTACCAAATCATTCCCTTCTCAGCTTCTCCCAGAGAAGAGACCATGTGAGAGCATTAACAATGCCACACGCTCAGGTAACATTAAACCCAAGGCAGACCTTGGCAGGTGAGGAGGTGCAGGCCCAGTCCCTAAAAAGGCAGACGGTTCACTGGTGCATTTTTGCTAGTTGCTCCTTCTACTGAATGCTACAATTTAGGAATTAATCACAAGTAACGTCTAATAGTCTTAGCAACACTAATCTCAGCAGTCAGCCCCCACTGCATTTTTCCACATATATATCCAAAGAATGAGGCCCTTAGAAAAACCAGGCTCCCATCAACCAGCACCTTTATTCTCCTGCAAACACTACCTCTTTTAATGTCTCTTTTCTTTCCCTGCTTCAGCTGTAACCTCCAAGTAGCTACTAGCAAATCTGCAAATCTAGTGCCAACCTCTATTCCTAATCACCTGCTGGTCATCTCCACGTTCAAGTCCAGCTGGCTCTTAACAGCATGTGGCGAACTCAAAACAGCATACCTCCTCCCAACCCCAAAAGTGCTCCACTCCCTGTGGCCCCAGGATCACTATCTCTCTGGTCATGCAAGCTTTCAAGCTTCCCATCTGTCACCAAGTCATAGCAATCCTCCCCTGAAATGGCACCCTTCCACAGCTGCCTCTTGTGTGATGTCATCACCTTTGTCCCTAGCCTATTCTCTTGCCTGTATTAATGCAAAGGCGATTCAATTGCTCTTTCCTCCCTTCATGCCACCCAAACACATGCTGCCAGTCTGATCATGTCACTTCCTTGCTCAAAAACCTTCAATCGTTCTCCAATAGATAAAGAAACACTTAGTTTTGGGGTGCCTGGCTGGCTCAGTCGGTTAAGCATCCGACTTCGGCTCAGATCATGATGTCACAGTTCGTGGGCTTGAGCCCTGCATCGGGCTCTGTGCTGACAGCTCAGAGCCTGGAGCCTACTTCCAATTCTGGGTTTCCCTCTCTGCCCTTCCCCGCTCACGCTCTCTCTCTCTCTCTCTCTCTCTAATAAACACTGGAAAAAAAAAAAAAAGAAAGAAACACTTGGTTTTATAATCCACCTCACTCCCTCTGTGCATCCAATGTTTTTACTCCACTAAACTATGTACCGTCTGCACTTCTAGAATGCTTTTGCCTTTTTAAGATCCAGTTCAAATGCCAACCCTTATACAAAATATTAGTTAATTCCTGTGGAGTTCATCTCTGCCTGTGTATTTTAGTTGGCATCTAATTGTAAATTGGTTCTGTATGCATATACTTGTCTTTCGTAGACTATGAACACCTTGAGGGGCGGGAGCCAGAACCTACCCATGTTCTCACTCCAGCAGAGTCTGACAGAGGAGAGGGCCCCGCACGTAGTAGGCAGTCAATAAGGGCTGTATTTAATTAATCAACTCCCAGGATTTCTCTTCATCAAGGTCTCCGCATGAAAAGATGAGGGATAGGGGCGCCTGGGTGGTGCAGTCGGGTTAAGCGTCCGACTTCAGCCAGGTCACGATCTCGCGGTCCGTGAGTTCGAGCCCCGCGTCAGGCTCTGGGCTGATGGCTCGGAGCCTGGAGCCTGTTTCCGATTCTGTGTCTCCCTCTCTCTCTGCCCCTCCCCCGTTCATGCTCTGTCTCTCTCTGTCCCAAAAATAAATAAAAAACGTTGAAAAAAATTTAAAAAAAAAAAAAAAAAAAGAAAAGATGAGGGATAAAACCTAAAACTACTTCCCATCATCTTCCCCATCACAGTCCCCTTCTCACCTCGTTCAGCTCATCCTTTCAGCCACTCAGGGTTATGTTACAATCACCCTTCTCACTGGGGTTGGGAGGGCAGACCTGACTGACACGACCTCGCTCACTATAGGCACATAAGGACCTGTTACTACTTCTGCTCTGTAGATGAGGAAGCACGTGGGAAAGCCTGATGACTGAAGTCAAGTTGCAGAGCTCGTGAGAAGAGCGCTGAATTTCAAGCTAAGGGCCACTGGACTGGAAAGCTCATGCCCATCCCACTACAATCCCACTGTACAGCCTCTTGGGTTTCCTCACAACCACCACTTGCTTTCTAGCACTCTCTGTCAGCCACTTTGGCTTTGGACTTCAATGTTACAACAGTCTCTGACCTGACCTGATAAATCTCTAGCCTATGAGGGAAAATAACTCCAGTCATTTCTTTCCATCTATTTCTATACTTTCTACTTTCTCCTTTCTCAAATCATCTTCAACTCAGTGGGAAGTCCACTCCCAGGACTTCTACCCCAAATAATACCATCATCACTGTGTTTAGGGTATATGTGAAGCACCAACATTAAAACAAAACCACTTTTAAAGAACACTGCTGCCCTCTGCGCACGAAGACCTTCTGCAACTCAGCACTGACAAGACCTACACTGAGTTAAGTCTTCCAGGACAGGGAACAGAGAAGGCACTGACCCACCCATATTCTCCCCTTGGCAGGTATACCAACATTCTTTTACAGACAAGGATGTACTAATTGTGGGAAACTAGCTGTTAAGCCAGGGCTTACTTCGTTCTGCCAAAAGCACAGGTATCACTACAGTATGGACCATGAGATATGCAGTTTTAATAATCCTTATGAAGATTACCCAGTAAAAGTGGCTGATAAAATCCCAAAACATGGATACAAAGTTATATACATATATATATAAATATGTATTATATACATAACATATGTAATATACAATATATATTACACATATTATACATATATTACGTATATTATACATATAATACATATATATACTATTAACCACAACATATGAACGCAGTTGCCAAAGACTAAAAGGTAACACACGTACAAAACGTTAAAGGTACTATAAGCTGGGTAAACATCAACGAATGTTTAAAATTCTTTAATATTATATTATTTGTCTGGTTATCTACTGCTACATAACAAACCACCCCATAACTCAGAGGCTTAAAACACCACCACCAATTATTTTGCTCATGAATCTGCAAATTGTACCAGGTTTGACATCGGCTGGGTGGCTCAAAGGCTGAGGGCTGGGATCCTCTGCTGACTTGCTCACTCCTGTGTGTGGTAGTTGATGATGGTTGTCAGGGCCTCCTTGGGACTGAGAGCTGGAATACCTAATACACGGCCTGGCCTGGGCTTCCTCACAACATGGCAGCTAACTTCCAGGGACAAACATCCCAAGAGTCAGACAGAAGGTATATTGCCATTTTTAACCTAATCTCACATGTTACAAAGTAGAATTAACATCCACTACCTTCTATTTGTTAGAAACGAGTCATAAAGCACACCCCTATTCATAAGGAAGTCAATCAGAATTCTACCTTTTGATGGCAGACATCAGAATCACTCGGGGAGTTTAAAAATACCCATCCAGACCAACTGAATCAGAATCTCTGGGAAGATTCTAGTACTCCCAAATAAGTAGTACTTTTAAAATGCTTCCCTAGGTAACTCAAATGTATAGTTGGGAGACTGAACCACAGAATTAAGATGATCTCTGAGCTTCCTTCCAGTTCCAAAATTCTAGATTATCAGCCCAATGTAAGAAAGGATGAAGGAGCTAAAAAAGGTAAAATAAAAAGTCTATTAAAAAAAAAAAAAAAAAACAGGGGCGCCTGGGTGGCTCAGTCGGTTAAGCGTCTGACTTCGATTCAGGTCATGATCTCGTGGTCCGTGAGTTCGAGCCCTGTGTCGGGCTCTGTGCTGACAGCTCAGAGCCTGTTTCAGATTCCGTGTCTCCCTCTTTCTCTCTCCTCCCCCACTCATGCTCTGTCTCTCTCTTCTCAAAAATAAATAAACGTTAAAAAAAAAAATTAAAAAAAAAAAAACCACAAGCACAGATGTATTTTTAGATGTATACATGGATACACACATGTATACTTTCCAAGATCTATAACCAGTTTGGCCAAATCCAACTTGTGTCTAATACTAATGCTGATAAATACAGCATTCAGTTCTTACTGTCCATTAAGGTCAACTCCGAACAGTAATAGTGAGACAAGACCAGATACTCTTGCAGAGCCACCTATAACCTTGCTGGAATTTAGCAGGCCTTTCTAGCCCACCTGACTCTAGCTCACAGCCAATTTGTAATTACCTACATAGCTCCACAGGACAGTGCCAAGAGCACCCAGAGCCCTCTCAGCCCCTGGTACTACTGCTAGGAAATAAGAAGTGCAAATCTAGTTGCCGAAATCCTCAATCTTGAGGTCAAAACTGGATATACCTAAATATGCACACATTATTTCCAGAAGCACTTCTAAATCACTGTGCCTCAAACTAGTGATTTTCAAGATGTGGTCAGCAAAGAAAGTTTCTGATGGCCAAGATTATCTATCCCATGGATTGGCCCAACAATATATATCTAATGAATTTTCCACTGTGTAATTATTATCTACATTAAAGTCACAAAAGCATACATTTAAAAATATAGTCACAATTAGAATGATTTTAATTGGCTATGAACTTTTAATATATTAATTTTGGGGGACATATTCAAATGGAAAAGGGAATATGTACAGATCCTAGGTCAGTTTAAAGTGGTTAATTTTATGTCAATGTCACCTCAAAATTTTTTAATGTAAAATCATAATTCTTACAGGAATATTAAATACTAAATCCCAATATTCAATAATATACATAAAAATATTTCCCAGTATAAAGTAACATTTCATACAGCTTGCTTAATCTTTCAGAGTCTCTATTTTCCACTGATAAAATGTAGATGCCCTGTCCACTGAAGAATAAGTAACCAAAGGAAAATGACTGAATTTTTTATGAACCGTAAGATACCAGATGAACAAATAATTTCTCAAATTTTGCATTTCTCAAATTATATATGGTCTCAGCTATGAAAAAGAATACCTGAAGATTTGGTGACAACTGAAAACAGATATTGCTAACAACTTATCAACTCTTTGGATAGATATTAAAAGTCCTGTGGCACAGATCAACTTTAGGAAATACTACTTCTCACCCATTTCCTTTACATTGTGGCCACTTTTGTTCAGGGTATAATTGGCTAGGTTCTGACATATGTTAAGAAATTTATTGTCCTTCTCTTCTATCTTTAGGAAAATAAACCAATTCATCAAATGACCTGCCATGTTAATTCTTTCTGTCCGAAATGCAAGAACCTACGGAAGATAAATGTAAGATAAATGTTTGAACTAGAGAAAGGTCTCTCCCACACGTATCAGTGAGGAAATACCTTAACAGGAGCTCTGTGTTTCAATATCTGTTACATAAGAAGAGGCAGAGTCTGGCAGTGATTTTTAATCCTAAGCTCCTCTTTTTTAAATAAATAGGCAAGGTGTGGAGATACGGAAGGTTCCTTTGCTCAGAGGAATCAAACATTCAAGTACTTTAGCTGGAAAAGAAAGTTTGCTGAAGGCTTTCACAAGTACACATTTTTTTTTTTAAACTCAAAATGCCACTTCCCAGTCTCTCAACTTTCTCTGTATGCAACAGAGAGATAATAATCTGCCAGACAAGAACAACTCTTTGCTAACAGCATTTCTTCCCTCCTCTGTGAAGCAACTATTTGTAAACGGCACAACTTACCGCAAAGATTTTTAACAAGGTTTTCATGTAGAGCTTTCGGATACCAAAGGAGACTCCAAAAATGGCAGGGACTATGATGAAAACGAGGAGGAGGGTGAAGAGGACGGTCAGGGAGATGCCCAGAAGGTTGACAATCAGGCTGTCAAAGGGGAGCAACAGGAACATGGTGGAGGATCCAGGCAGGGCCAGTGCCCTCCTCCCCAAGAACAAACCACTGTCTTCGGATGGTCCTATCAGACAGCACCAGCCTGGGAGAGAAAGCGAGTCCCCATAGGATAGCAAACCCTGTTCCAAGTTCACATCATTCGACTGCCTGGGGGCAGGAGGACCGTAAAAAAAGGCCGTAGGGGACAGCCCAAAAATGCCAGCTCTCTCCAGAACAGATGGACTCTGGAGGTGACTGAGGCAGGAGCGATCTTCAGCACAAGCATCTGAGTCCGGGAGCAGTTTCTGTGAAAGTGAGTAGCATGGGAGGGATCTCTGCTCTGCTCCCCTTATGCTCCTTTCCTTCTAGAAGTTTCACTTTTTCTTTCCTGCTCAAGAGCATTTAGCAGATAAATCTGTCCCGAAGATCTGTCATTGCCAGAAGTACCAAGAAGAGTTCAACTTGGTGCCAGAATAATCCTGATAACTTCTGTGGAGGGGGGTGACTGCTGGCACCTCACACAGAAGGCTATTGAACTTGAATATGTGGAAATTAAATAATTGTTTTACTTAAAACTCCTTCATAAGCTGAAAATTGTGTTCATTGTAGAAAGTTCATATCTGGCCCCATTCTTCCTCTGGAGAGACTCCTGGTGCGTGCTGCGTCCAGGACCCTCCAACCTGGAGAGCTACAGTCTTGGCCAGGAGGACACAGATGCTGGCACGGAATGTCTCATGCTGCTTGCGCAGAGTGCAACTCCAGACGCGTCTGGCATTGGTTTCCTCTGGATATTCTTCTCCCTGAGGCCCCCTTCTCAGCGGTGACCTGGGTTCTTGGCAAGAAGTTGCTTACATGCTGCCAAAGCTGGGGGTGGAAACAGAAACACCATCAGTCACACAAATCAAGAGGAGAAACATCGATGTGCTTTGGCGGGGAGGGGAGCTGTTTTAGAGTAAGCCTAGATTCACTGCCAGCTTCTCAAGTCATCAAGGTCAAAGGGAGTGGGCAGAACAACAGGTAGCAGACACACGTGGAATGAAAGCAGAGATGTTCCATATAAGCTTTCGATTTCAATAATATCTGTGGCCAACTTTCTGAATAGAAAGTATATGGATATATGACACATTCTCAAAGAGGGGATACTGTGAAAAGTGTATTTCCCTCCTACTTGTCCCCCAGCTACCCAGAGTTCTTATCTGCAGAGGCAACCATGTTATCGGCCTCATATTCTTCCCAAGGAATTCTACGCTTATACAAGGAAATCACAATTGATCTTTTCTGCTCACCCCCCCCCCCCCAATCTGGCAACAATAATGATGCCATACTCAGCACACTGTTCTTCAACTTGGGTTTTTTTTTGTTTTGTGTCTTTAGCTTATTATATCTTGCAAGAATATTCCATCAGTGCATACAGGGCTCCCTCACTCTTCACAGGTGCACAGTTTTCAACTACTGTACCATAAGTTAGTTAACTGGTTTCCTGAGGTTGGACACTACATTTTTGTTGTTATAAATAATGTAATGAATAACCACGTGCATATGTGACTTAGCACACAAAATGCACATGCAAATACAAATATAAATATATTTTCAAGATAAATTCCTAGAAATGGAATTGCAGGGGAAAAGGAAGCAGAGTTTTAATTTTATAAGACATCACCCCAGGGTGCCTGGGTGGCTCAGTCACTTGAGCATCCAACTTCGGCTCAGGTCATAATGTCAGGGTTTGTGGGTTTGAGCCCTGCGTCAGGCTCTGTGCTGACAGTGCAGAGATCGCTTCAGAATCTCCATCTCCCTCTCTTGGCCCCTCCCCTGCTCACGCCCTCTCTCTCTCAAATATAAACATTTAAAAAAGGAAAAAAAAAAAGATACTCTCTGTTTTCTCCAAGGAGATTAAACTCCTCTCTCTAGCTGTCTATCTCCCCACATTGGTCATTCTCTTTTGTTTTAAAGACTTCTTTGTAGACCAGTTTTGGGTTCATAGCAAAACTGAAAGGAAGATACAGAGATTTCCCATGTACCCTGTCCCTACATATATACAGCCACCCCCATTATTAACATCCCCACCAGAAAAGTGCATTTGTTACAAGTGTTGCTGAACCTACACTGACACTTCATAGTCACCCCAAGCGCACACTTACATCAGGGTTCACCCTTGGTGCTGTATGCTTTAGAAGCCTGCACAAATGCAAAGCACATGTATCCATCATATACTATCACACAGTAGTTTTTCACTGCCCTAAAATCCCTTGTGCTCCAATTACTCATCCTTCCCTTTCCCGAACCCCTGGCCACCACTGATCTTTTACTGTCTCCATAGTTTTGCCTTTTCCAGAATGTCTTATAATTGGAATTATATTTTCGGATTGGCTTCTTCCACTTAACATGGCCACTCATAAACTCCACTATTTTAAATATCTTAACAAAAGTATTTCAATTTTAGGTTTCTTATTCCTTTAAAACAATTTTTTTAATGTTCTTATTTATTTTTGAGAGAGAGAATGTGAGTGAGGGAAGGGGCAAAGAGAAAGGGAGACAGAATCTTAAGCAGGCTCTGAGCTGTCAGCACAGAGCCCAATGTGGGACTCGAACTCAGGAACCGTGAGATCAAGACCTGGATGGAAGTTGGACGCTTAACTGACTGAGCCACCCGGGCGTCCCTTACATTACTTACTCCTAACCACAAGTTACCAGTGCAAGCCCTGCACTTGGGAGTACCTTTTCAAATCTCTGGCACACACCGGGGCTTTGCACCAGTCACCTCTGGCTCTGTTCCTATGCATTTACACATTCAAGAAACTGAACAGACAGCAGGTTACAACCTTCACCTTAAACTGTGTCCAGTGCCTTTCTGCACAGAACTCTCAAAACCTTTCACATGTTCTCTTAGAACTTGTCAACAGTATTATTTCCACATCACCCATCATGAAATAAGCAAGACACAGACAGATCCCCCTCTTCTGACTCCTAACCCAGTACTGCTCCCAGTACAGTCCCATACATTTGGTGATTAAATGAAAAAGACATGCCATTTTGTGGCACCAAGTCACAAATACTAGTTCCTGTTTGGGATCCTCCAGTTCTTCCACTTTTGCACTATCATTATCACTGCTAACATACTGAATGCAACGTGACAGATCCTGAGCTAACCTCACAAACATTTTACATACCCTACCCTCACTTACGTCTCACAACAGCCCTGTGGTGGAGTTCTTATCATCACTGCTATTTCACAAAGGAGGAAATCAAGGCTTAGAGGATCACTTAAGTTAAGGGAATCATACAGCTACTAAGTATCGGAGCACGAATTTGCACCAGGGGATCTGTCTCCTAGCCCAAGCTCTTTAACCATGCCCTCCTACCTCCCAAACTACCATATTGCAATGAATGAACACTTCCTTCATGGCAGAGCTGCTCTACAGAACTTCTTGTGGTCAGAGAAAAACCACAAGGCGAATCTAGATTCATGTATCAGAATTTGGAGTTCTCAGAATCCAAGGTACAAACCTGCTCTTTCATTTTTATAAACTGGCTAAACTGACTGTACATGCCAGATTTTTAACAGCACACCAACAGAGGTTGAGGAAATTAGATATATTTCTGAGACTTCATTTAATTTGCTGAGTCACTGTATTCTTTAAACCTGTCTCATTCCAGCCTAATTCTAGGGCCACATCTCTGTTCCACTCTTCTGTCCTTGTTCCCCTTGTCTAGCACTCCCATGGGAAAGAAGGAACAAAACCCCTGTGCCCCACTGGTCAAGGTTACCCTGGGTTCCATGGACCCAAGATGACTGACACCAGGGTCCTTTGACTTCCCATGCCAGAGTTTAGATCTCTTTTCCTTGAATCACAATCAACTGAGAATTCCCAAGGTTATTCTGGGTTCATGTCCCCAAAACATTAAACACATTTAGCAATAAACTAATTTCTTCAGGGGTTGATGAACCATAGCCCAAAGGCCAAATCTGGCTTTGGCCTGTTTTTCTAAGCCAGGAGTGAGCTAGGAATGGTTTTTACATCTTTAAAGAGTTGTAAAAAATGAAGAATAATATATGACACAGACCACAGCAAAACCTATTTACTATCTGACCCTACACAGTTTGCCAACCCATGACCCAGCTGCTCCTTTTTCCTCTGAGAGGCACTGAACTCACGCCCCATCCCATGGTTCCACCGCACCCCTCGAGTTCATGTTTATGGGTGCCAGACTCCAGAACAGAGAACAGTAACGTAGCCAAACAAGTTATCTGGCCAAGACTAAACAATCCCCATGTAGATTCTCAGAAGTAAAGAGAAAGAGCAAGCAAACCACAGTTATCAAACAGAGTCCCAAATATCTTGCTGGATCAGCAGAACAGCCATTAAATCCGGAAGACTGGTTGGTGTCTTAGGCCCCATAACACAAACTTTGATCTCTGGAAATAGTATCAGAAAATCAGTCACTTCAGAGCTCTACCACACAATTCCCAGATGACTGTTCACTTAAGAGAAGATATCACTTTGCTTCACGTAAATATAACCATGACTCCACAAGCATGAGGTATTTACTCATTCTCCTGACTTCCACAGCTTTCAGCCAGACTCACTGAGAGTAATTTGGACCAAAGTTGCCCCAGGAACCCAAATGGTCCAGAGAAAAACAGAAGAACCAAGTAGTTCTGAGCCTTTTAGGAGGGAGGGTGGCTTCATCCTAGCAATGTGACAGAGCCCATCACTAAGTTACCTAAACTCTTCAAGCCATTGAATGGCAAATCTGGGACTTTAAGCCCCCAAATGACCCAATTTCCAGGGCTCCTCAGATCTGAGAGTGATGAGTTCATTCATTCAACAAATACTCAATGGGCACATTACTATGTCTCACACATTATGTCAGGCATTATTTAGTGCCTAGAGACAAGTGTTAAGCAAATAAGCATACACAAAGTCATAATTTCACACTTTGATAATTGTTAGCAAGGCAAAGATAATTCTGGGAAAGAAAATAACAGAGGTAACTTAATTTAATATAGGTCATCCAAACCAATTTTGATCCAATCACAAGTCAGAGACTATTATGATTCCTAACTGCAAAACCAAATACAGCTGAAACTGGAATAACAATATGGGTTTGAACTACATGGGTCCACTTACATGTGGATTATTTTCTGATACAATACTGTATTTTCCCTTATGATTTTCCTAATAACATTTTCTTTTTGTAGCTTACTTTTTTCTTTAAAAAAAATTTTTTAATGCTTATTTTATTTTTGAGAGGGAGAGAGAGAGACAGAGACAGAGTGTGAGCGGGGAAGGGGCAGGGAGAGAGGGAGACACAGAATCTGAAGCAGGCTCCAGGCTCTGA